CATTTGGCCAGCAACAGCCCTGCAGAAGAGTGAGAGAGATTTTGAAATTGAGTCCTCTGTTCCCCAAGAAGAGATTTTCTGATCACTAGAACCTAACAGGATGGTTTCTTCACATAAAATTGCAAACCGTTCTTGTTGTAGAGCCCCTATGGGGTTCTCCTTGTAGAGTCCTAGTAAAGACTGCAGTTCAGTGAGTTCCCTTGAATAGTGATGTCTGTGCTATGGGCGTGAGTCACGACCCTTACCTAGTTTAGGGTCATTATGGAGGGTCCTCTTCTCGAAGAGCTAAGTATGACTTCTTAAAAACCTGTCATACGAAACAAACTCAGAATGTTTTCCTAGTATCGAAAAGAAGGGTTTCATTTGCAACAAGGTTTGGATGCCCTTATTGTTGTGGTAAGTCCAGAGAACAGTTTTGGTTAATACTGAGCTTACTTCCTTTTCCAATCAGGACTTCAGGATTGTCACCCTGATATGAGCTTTGTCAGCTTCCTGAAATCATACCACCTGAAGACAGCAAGATCAGGTGGTAGCAGCTAGCAGTTTTTGATATGCAAGTCTTTAGGGTTGAGTGCAGAGTAGTGCCTCCCACATTCCAAAGAGTCCTTAAACTCCTGCCCACAAAGTTACACATCTCAAGAGCTCAATGAGAAGACAATGAGACACTGCACCTCACTTCAAATCTTTGGACTGCCTAGTCACTTCTTCATCAGACAAAAGAGGATGACACTACTGATGCCCTTTAATACTCACAGTCACACTGGTAGTGATGCCATGGACTGTCGTCAATCAAGAATGTTGTGTTTTGACATGCTTCAGACACCAGTCAAGCTGGAGGCAGTCCCCCATCTCAGACAGTCTTTTTCCCATTCTCAGAGAACAGAAAGGAGAGAAGGAGAGAACATCTCCGGGTTGCCTGTGTCAGGGCCGCTTCATCGTCTTCTTAGAGGACTTATGGGCCGGCTGGGACACGGGGGGGGGGGGGCGGAGCCCCTGGGGGGGCGGCCCCGCGCCGCC